GTAAGACTTTTTTACATGCTTGCATTACTCTAATTACAGTAGGCAGAGCAAACCCAGAGTAGCTGAACCATATACTGTGCACAAACACAACATGCAGGCACAAGCCTCCTGCAGGAACTTTGGGCCTGATTTGCATGTTAACAAGCGCATGCCTAACAAAGTATGTACACAAACTTAACGAAACCTTTAAGCTGCTCTCATAGAGTTAGGCTTCAGCTGGCCTGCTCTGGGGAGACACACTGAGCTTTTTGCCCTCCTGTGTGTGTTCAATCTTTAAAAGACGCTGGAATTACAGGCTTCCAACAAGCCTGATGGGCTCCTTCTGCCTGTTCCATCACTGAAGGCTTTCCTGGCCACAGTGGTTAGTAAGCACAGTTTTTGAAAAGAAAAAAAACAAGTAAACTTCTTTGAGCTTATCTTCTGCCCCCATCTAGTGTGCCAAGAAGACACTCAAATCCAATTTTGCTCTTAGACAAGCTCCCTATGCTCCCAGAGAAAAAAATAACAAGGGGAAGACATAGCTACCATCTCATAAAAGGGCCCACTAACACGTAACTGGCAATTCTGCTGCTAATTCTATTTGTTTAATCTGGTAAGAAACTGGTCAGAGAAAGGAGAGAGGTCAAACAAATAAAGCAGGCTTGTGAGGTTCTACACACCAGGCTTAGTCCTGCTGTTGCACTACTGAGTGTTCCCTGCGGTTTGGCTGGAGCTTTGAACATGTGAAGGCAGAGGCTTGCTCACTACTGCCTCATGAAACAACATCACTGACTTCAGAAAAATTACCTTTTCAGGCTCCTCATGAGCTTCACCAAGAAGATGCCTCAACTGACATCTGCAGAGCTGATCAAGTTCACCAAGCAGATGACTACGATTGGCTCCAAATGCTGCCAGTTAAGCCTGGACAAGCTGCTGCCTTGTGCCGAGGAAAACGTGAGTATTGCTCCTCTGGATCTCAGTCATACTTCTGGAAACCCTGTCACAAATTCTGCTGCCAGCAAGGTCCAAGAGTAAAGGTAAGTGAAAAGAATGTTCACTGAGCTGCTGAGTTGACCTGAAGGTGTACTTCCATGCCTGAAGGAAGCATAACTCCATCTCATTGAAGTTAAGGCTGGAATTGAACTACATAAAAAAGGTTCAGTCCATCCTCCAGACACCCATCTTCTTCACCATCCCCTTAACAAGAGCAGCCACACAGACCCACAGGTGCCCTGCTGAAGACAGCAAGTCCATGCAAGTGTGCTTTATGAAGAAATCTGTCCTCAGTTCAGCTGTAGCAGTCATTTTTCTCCTCCTTAGTAGCTGGTGCAGTGCTGCATTTTTGACTTTCAGCCTGGGAACAATGCTGGTAACACACCGATGTTTTTCTGTTGCTAAGTAGCGCTTACTCTGACCAAGGACTTTCTGAGTCTCATGCTTTGCCAGGGAGGAGGGGAAGCCGGGAGGAAGCAGAGACAGGACACCTGACCCAAACTAACCAAAGAGGTATTCCATACCACAGCACGTCATGCCCAGTATAGAAACTGCAGGGAGTCACCCGTAAAGGCCCAGATGGCTGCCGGGTAGGGCCGGGTATCCTCTGGCAGGTGGCGAGTGGTTGTATCGAGCATGACTTGTGTTTATTGTTTTCCTTTTCTCCTTTTAGTTTTATATTCTGCCCCTCTGTTATTTCCCTTATCATTATTATTATTGGTGGCAGCAGTAGTGATTTGTGTTATACCTTAGTTACTGGGCTGTTCTTATCTCAACCCATGGGGTTCACATTCTTTAGATTCTCCTCCCCATCCCTCTGGGAGCTGGGGTGAAGAGAGGGAGGAAAGCGAGTGGCTACGTGGATCTGAGTTACCGTCTGGGCTTAAACCACAACAAAATCACTTGGTTTCTGTGCGCAAAGGACAGTCCCTGGAACCACAGAGACATACTTCTGAAAAATTATTTCACTGACAAAAGCCAGCATTCAGTCAAAAATAAACTATTACCTACGTTACAAAGTTTAATTTAAGCTCTCTGTTATTCTTTATAACTTCAAGAGCAGTCTGTATTTTTGACCATAAAAAATTTAAATAATTTTTTTTTTTTCCACTTCTCTTGGTAAAGCTGGATCTTGTGCTTGGAGAAATATGCAGAAGACACCTGAGGGACCCTATAAACCCAGGCGTGTGCCACTGCTGCAGCAGCTCCTATGCTCTCAGGAGACCATGCATAGGGAAACTGGAAATGGATGAGCATTACATGCCCTTATCACTGACTCCAGGGCTGTTCACTTTCCATGAAGACTTGTGTACAACTGAGGAGGAGAAGCTACAGCACAAGAAGCAAGAGTAAGGCGTGCCTCTTCTAGCCTGTTACCTTCCTGTTTCTTATTTTTACCCTGGCCATTAACTTGTGCTGGGGTGAGCCCAAACTTCCTGGACCCTCTGGCGTGATGCACAACACAGACAACACCTGCCACTTAATTCATGGGTAATCATAGAATCACAGGCTTGTTTGGGTTCGAAGGGACCTTAAAGCTCATCCAGTTCCAACACCTTCTACTAGACCAGGTTGCTCCAAGCTCTGTCCAGCCTGGTCTTGAACACTGCAAGGGATGGGGCAGCCACAGCTTCTCTGAGGTGGACCAATGCTAAAACCCTTCAGATATTTTATTTCCCAGGGGAACTGGGCATGTCTTTGCTTCCTACTGCAAATACCTACCTGGGTGGGGAATAAAAATGAAAAAGCTGTAGAAAGAAAGTGGGCAGTAGCAGAGGGACTTTGCAGGACTAGGGTTGGAGAAATGCACCATAAGCCGTGTGCTTTGGAGAAATGTACCATAAGCCATGTGCTTCCTCTGCTTTGCTCTGCTTTCCTTGCAGAATGCTCATCAACCTCATCAAATACAAGCCCCAGATCACACAGGAGCAGCTGACAGCCATCACGGCTGCCTTCACCACCATGAGAGAGCAGTGCTGCAGAGGAGGCAACCCCCAGGCCTGCTTTGCCAAAGAGGTGTCCTTTCTGCTTCATCTGACCCACAATGGAAACAGGGAGTATATGCAGAAGGAGGAATTTCTCCTTTAAACAGCCAAACCAAGTCTGGCTAGCCAGAATTCCTGCAGTTCTGTTTCCAAAAGCAAATCGGATTGCCTGCACATTAGATATCAGCACCAGTTAATTCATCACTAGATGACTTACCTAATTAGTCTTGTGTTTACATGCAGTAATTGATAGATACAGAGCTCAGCTCCATCTGTTTCCTCTGGGGAGCTCCTGGGACTGGGCCTGTGAAGGACATGGACAAAGGTCTTTCCCTGGCTAACAGCTCTGAAACGAACTCTTAATTTTTTAATTCTTAGTTCTGAACTGGATTTCACTTGAAAAGTTCCTCAGCAGTAGAGAGAGAAAGCATGTAGTCACCTTTTAGGGTCAAAGTATTTTCCCTGTTTGTATTCCCTACCACTGTTTTCCTCTTCTCTTGGCTATGTTCTTGTAGCTCATTGACCCTCACACTGCAGAGCTACTTCAGCTTCTCTTCACCCTCCAGCAAATCTGCTTTTGTCTACTTCACATCTCTCTCTCTGATGTATTCCTTCACTAAGCTTAAACCCTCCACAACCCTTAAGCCTGGCTCTCTGTTTTCCTCAGCCTTCGCCTTGCTTTAAATGACAAAATACGAAAAAAGTCTCTCCTGTGATTTCCACCTCTGAACACACCAAGCCAGCCACACACCTGCAAAGAAGCATTCTGCTACCTCCTCCCAAACATCACATCTCCAAAGGCAGCCTGAGCTGAACAGGAAAAACAACATGTTTATTAAACATAGTGGTAAACATATCTTTACTCTGTAGAACATGGTGTGTACACAGCTTGCAAACACAACAAAACACTACCCACTGCTGCCACAGTGGGTAGTGGCAGCTTGCTTGTTCACAAACACATCACCTTTCTGACTAGCTCATAGATATTTTGCTCTTTTCCAGGGTCCAGAACTTATAAAGAGAAGTGAAAAAATGTTGTCAGCATGAAGAGCTCCCGCAGTGCATTGGACAACACTTGCCAACCTAACAGCAAGCATATATTTTCTGATGTTCATGAAGCATAAACAGGAGCATGTGATTTGTCAGAGTGCACAAAACTACCTTGTGGCTCTTTACTCACAAATCTAGGAAAGTCTAGATGGTTTTACACCAGCTACAGTTCATCTGCTGCTGCAAACAAGGGACAAGAGGCATCTCAATAAACCATATTTTCCATAGGACCTGCTGGGCTGGGGAACTGCTTTTCAGTCATATGGGGAAGAACCCACATACGAACCTCAGCTCTGGTTCCTGTCACAGTGATCCAGAATTGTCAAGGAGATGTAAAATTTAAACCAAAGCAAGTAACTTAAAGCCAGCTAAATTTCTTAGTTGTTCAGGATCCTTAAACATACAAGCCTTAAGTGCAAAGAGAAGGCTCATCACCTTGAGGAAATCTGCTGAAAGAATAAGTTAAACGGATGGAAATTGTCATTAACAACATAAATCAGACCAAAACCCATTTGTTAGGTTTGTGGCTGACAGCAAGGTGGAGCCAACCTGTTGCAAACCCCTTTACAATTCTTAAATGTCAAAATCACCTTGGCAAATTAGAGAGACAACCAAGAGGAAACCAACTCTATTCTACCAGGACACATTTCACGCATGACACAGGAACAATTAAGCAGCTGTACCATTTCACTACAGGAGAAGTACTCACTGGGGAGCTGTGCAGGTCACCATGTGGTTATAATGAACCACAGGCCAAGAGCCATCAACAGCTGGCTGCTGATTCAGGTCTAACTTATTGCTCATATACTGGCGGCATAAGCAGAGCAACAGCTAAAGCAGAACAAGGCTTTACCCAGGTATCAGTGGTGGTTTTGATATCCAACCAATGATCAGATGGGCATCTTGGGCTTCTCCAAGCACTGCAGTTTAGAGATGCAGATTGACATCAGTCCTCTGTAATCTGGGGTGGTTTGGGGGCTTTGTCTCTTCTTCTTTTTATTTTAAATCAGTGATGACTTGAGATTTTCCTCAAGGGGAAGCTCAGTCATACAAATACAAGTAAGAGACAGATTCTCACTGCTGTCTGTATGGTTAATGGCTTAGGCTCCCCATCCAAAAGCAAGGCCCCTTGCCCCTGTCCCCTCTGCTTTTCACTGCTGTGTTACCTGCAATATCCAGTAAACCTTTGGAATAAATTTTCTGCCTGTTCTCACCTGTATTTGTCAGAAATTATTCCTTGTATCCAGCAGAGCAAGGCTAAAGCTTTATTGCAGTAGCTCTTCAAACCCAGCAGGCTCCAGTTGGTCTACGCATTGTCCCATAGTCATTTCCCAGCATACTTCTGTCCCTGTCCAGCCGGACAAGTGAAATGAAAGTATTTCAGCACCAGAAGGTGGCACAAATGGCTCGGTTTAGGAATTGCGCTCACGCACAGAGGACTGAAAAGCCTGCTTGAAAACATTTTTTCTCTTTTCCATATGGTCTGAGCATTGATTTATCTTTTAAATTCCTTGCAGACCAAGGAATTATTAATATTTCATATTCCAATGTTCTCATAACTTCACCTTCACACAATTACTCAAGCATTTAGGAAAATAAATATGTAATAGAAACACCCTGTTCTGAATGAAAATACTCCAATACCCTTTCCTGGTTCAAATGAGAAAGATGCTACAGCACAGGCCAAGATCTCTGTAGCACTTGCCCTTTCTCAGTGAGTTCAGACAAGCTATGTCCCTGCTCCTGAATTTGATCTAACTGAACATTGCTTTGCAAACAGGTTCCAACTTGCCTTTACAGAAATTTAGGTGGAACCAAGCACAGAGATCCACACAACACTCTATGTCTGCTCTAGCACCTTTTCCATGGTGCATTGCTATTGCACCTGGTGCTCAAATCTCACCTGGCCTTAGAGGAACAAAATCATCCACCCATGACATGGCTGAAACAGCCACTTCTGCTTGGGTTTGGCTGAGAACTTGGCCATGGTCTTCTTCAGACTGCACAGAGATCTGACATTTCATGACCTCTGATGGTTTAGGGTAAGTTTCACGCCTCCAACAGCTTGGGTAACAGGTACTTGAGTGGGCCGTGGGGACATGTCCATGATGCCTGCATACACGCTTCTGGTGCTTCAAGGAACTTAGATTTGCACCTGTAAGGCAACTATTACTTAAAAATATGCATCTTAACTGCTGAATTACCTTTATTTCTCCCCTCTGTGCTCCCTTGCCCATAATTATTTTCTAGGCAAGACTATAATAGACTGCATCAAAAAAACCCTTGGCCCAAACCACAATATCTTCAATTATGACTTTCAGTTACTGTCATTTTTAAATCACCATCATCTCAGACAATGTCATTTTCCATGTTTGATTTATTCTATAAGATTCAGAGGCACCATTTCTTGTATGGTGATTCTTTTCTTCTAACAGTGTTTATCTCACTATCTGCATCAGGTAGCTGATGCAAAGCACAGATACCATGTAATAGAGACAAACTAACACAGGAGGGCAATTCCTCGGGCACAAGTCAGATTTTATTTACATTGCTACAGTTTGAGCTTTAGTATTAAGCAGGACCCATTTGGAGAAGACCCAGCACTCTGCACAAGGGTAGACTGCACACACTGCACTGAGGCCATGAAGTCTACCCCTCACAGACCACTTATTTACATCTTTAGATTAAAAAAATCTAAGGAATTAACTTGGAATCTTTTGTTTCAGCAACAAAAAAATCTGAGGTGCCTCCCAGGACCCCATAAGCAAATTCAAGTGTTTAGTTTGAGCTCTTAGTTGGCAGTTCAAGGGATATTGCAGACATAAGTTCATCCTTTTGTTGAGGAACTGAGAAGCTATTAGGTGGGAAGGTTTCCATTTGTATTTTTCTAATCACAGCTCAAAGCTTAACCAAGTTGAACATCTGCTGTTCTGAAGCCGGAGGGATTTCAGTCTCTTGCACAGATATTTTGGGGGGTTTTAATTTAAGTGAAAAGCTTAACTGCAACCTTAGATACATAAATATCATTTGCCATTTACCTCTACTTCTAACGTAATTCAACATTTCTCTAATAGAAGTAAACCCATATATATAATTCTCCTATTTCCTGTACAATTAACACACTGGCTATTGAAGGGGTTTTGTCAGATGCCAGATTTTTCATAATGGTCTATAAATTCATAGGTTTTAAAGCCTTATGCTTTTCATAGCAATTTTCCCCTTATCTTAAGCTATATTAAGTCTTTTGGGGGATCTACTGCATCTTCTGGGGTAGTTCCCAACTCATGTCCAGAGCTGCAGGGGAGCAGGCTCAGTTTCAGGTGCATAATTATGAAGAGAAGCTTCAGCACATAGAACCCCCCTGTACTGTCAGGGCTCTGAGGTCCCATCCTGCTCACTCCAGTGTGCTGACCTTCCTTAGGCAGGAGTGTGGGGCGTTCACAACAGGCCCTTCAACTCAAACTGTGGTCTCTGTTCTTCGAGCACTTCGACTGTGAAGGTGCTGACATATCAATCTCTTCTCTCTCAGGTACCTGAGATGGAGAGAGAAAGAGAGAGAAAAGGCATTTCAGCAACACAATCTTGCAAAACTTCAATCCAAACTCTAACAAGGCAAGTTGAATGGCTGAAAAACATTGTCATGAAAGCTTTTCCCATAGCAACTGCCATTCTCTATTTTTTTTCTATATATTTCCTGGCCACTTTGATTCAAAAAGAGATTATCACACAGTCAGTTCCTAACAGATCCACGGCTGGTGCAGGCTCCCACTGCTTTTGTGCTCAAGACCCATATACCTGTTCAGAAACACCACTGTGTTTCTAATGTGTACTGGTTGTGCATTTTGAGCTACGACCACAAGAACTTGCAACATTTATCACAAGTCAGGTTTTAAAGAGACACTGAGAAATTAGCACTAAGCTCCCTTAAATGCTGTGCTGCCCAAGTCCAGGGAAATACACAGCAGCAAGTAGAAACCAAGGAACCAGTGTGAGGCTCAGAAAATAAACCAAGTAAAAATAAAAGTGACACTGAAAGCCAGAATCTGCTGGAACAATCACCCCTTAAATGGGTGGTCAGTATTTATTCTTCAGTCTTTAACAGCAGCACCTCATCTGGTTATGAAGAATATGTAAAAGAGGATAAATCCCACCAAGCCTCACTTAAGTAATTGCAGCACTGTGACTCTGCTACAGAAACCCATTCCCTTCTCGAGCCAACCCCTAATTGTGAATATTCTCCCAGCTTCAAAGTGACCCCACTTTTCCTTCTATTTGCCTTGAAATTGTCTGTTGAATCTCCTGTTGTTCTTCTTCATTTATTCTATGCAGAATCGATTCCAAAAAGGGAAGATGAAACTGAATATATTGAGCAACCTAGCAAGAAGACAAGAAATGCACGTTAGCAACCACACTAACTGGGAAAAATGCTGGGAGCTACTAGAAGTGGTGGGATACGTACATCACTGCTGATCTCTTCTACATCTCTGTCCATGAGGAAGAACTTGGCAATCTTCTCTGAGGGACCCTGCAGCAGTCTGTGCAGTAAGGGGACATCCCCACTCCTCAGTTGCTTCTTCTCTGGGATTCAAGAGAAACATGGTGATGCACAGAACACACAACAGCACCTCACACAACCAGTAGCCTTTTTTCTTGACAAAGGCCCTGAATTCAATCGACGTGCAATTATTAGATAACAAACAAGGCTCCAACACATGTTAGGAGGAGGATGCGGCACCTCACTTATGCTATGCATGGTCAAAGAAATAGGTAGATATACAACAGAAAGGACCTGTGATTCAGGTAGCCACGTAAGCATGATCCAGGCCCACCAGCTTGACCCAAACTCCCTAAAACAAAACTGACTTCACATATTTCAAACATAATTTCAGCTTCATATTCTGACATCTAAGATACATGCCCATCAGTTCTTTCTCTCATTCTTTCAGGCATTCCTTTTAATAAGGATCAAATTTCCTAAAGCAAGAGTATGTTGCAGAAGTAAACATTTTCCATCAAAAAAAAGGTCATTTTAAGTAGACATCCAAAACTATCCACTAAAGTATCCCACATGCCATGGCTGTCACTGTTCAGAACAATGGTTACGGCAGCAAAGCTTTTTAACATGGCCTTGAGAATACCAAAGGCCTGTTTAGCCTTCCATAACCAACTACACCAGCCCACAGTTACTCAGATTCTCCCCTCCACCGGAAGGCCACACATCCCTAAGGGGTCTCCAGAAGAGCCATGATGCCACACAGCTTTCACACTGTCCAAAATAGGACAGATACCCGGGATGAACCCTGTTACTCCAAGTCCAGCCATCCGCACACACACACATGAAGGGTCACTAGAGATGAAGGGATCGCGCAGCAGTGTCCATCTTACCTCCAGACGCGTGGATAATATAAAGTGCAAATTCATGGGGGCTGTTTTCTATCTGTGAAACAGAAAGAGATGAGATCTTAGGAAGTTCTTCGTTGTGAGTGTGGTGAGGCACTGGCATGGGTTGTCCAGAGGAGCTGTGGCTGCCCCATCCCTGGCAGTGTTCACACTGACCCATTTCACTGTCAGCAGACACTCTGTGCTTCTCAACTCAGGTATTTAAACCAAAACCCTGGGATCCACTTGCCCATACAACCACATTCAGCAAAAGGCAGCCCTTTTGAACAATTACTTTTCAACTAATCTCTTCAACTTCACAATCTGCTCTGTAATTCCATTCCTTGTGTTATTATTCAGAGAAGTCAACTTCTCTTTTTAGTATCACACCACAAAGTCTTACTAAATGTATGAAGCCATTCTGTCACAGCAAAGTGTTCACGCAGGTTATAATAAAACAAGGTAGTTTCATACAGCCTGGCACTCATCTTGAGCACAACTTTTAACTCTGACTGTCTGGAGCTTTCCATGTGCCCAGATCTAACAGGGCCCATCTCTCAGACCCTTGGGGTTAGAGCAGAATTCCCAGCTGTTTTGAGCACAACACAATGGGCAGGGCCTGTCACTAGAGGGAAGCATGGCCATGGGCATTACACAAACCCATCTGTGCTAGGAAAGGCTCCAAGTGCAGCTGGGTTTTCCTCTCCTGGGCCTCAGTTCAGAGAGAAGTGGCTCTTACCTTAAACTTCTGAAGCAGTTGTTCTATTACTTGTCTTGTTCTCATCTGGCTGTTGATTCTTATTTTGGTTTCTGATCCAAAAGCTGGAGTAAAAACTGACGTCTAGGAACAAAACCAGCAGCAAAAGGGCATGAGCATGAGGGCCGCTGAACACAGCGGCACGGACCACAAAGGATGTGAACCAGCACAGCTCTGAGACAAAGCAGGCTGTCAAGTGTGGCTGAGTGAGCTGGGCTTGTTCAGCCTGGAGAAGAGAAGGCTCTGGGGAGACTTAGAGCAGCTCCCAGTGCCTAAAGGGGCTACAAGAAACCTGGAGAGTGGCTTTTGACAAGGGCCTGTAGGGACAGGACAAGGGGGAATGGCTTTAACCTGACAGAGGGGAGACTGAGACGAGATCTTAGGAAGGAGTTCTTCCCTGTGAGGGTGCCGAGGCCCTGGCACAGGTTGCCCAGAGAAGCTGTGGCTGCCCCATCCCTGGCAGTGCTCAAAGCCAGGTTGGACAGGGCTTGGAGCAACCTGGTCTAGCGGAAGACCTAGTGGAACTCCCGTGGCAAGGAGCTGGAACTGTGGGAGTTTAAAAGTCCCTTCCAACCACTCTGTGATCCTATGACAAAGCACAGGTCATGCTCAGGAGAGCACCCTTGGTACCAGGACTACTGTGGACCCCATCATTCAGGGTTGAGTTCAGAGCCCACCAACACCATCCGGGCCATACATGGGGCCGTTGGAGAAGTGCCCATCAGCTTAGGGGCCTCCAGCCACTTGCGGGGAATTTTGAGCTGTCCCGGTACCCAACCTCAGGTGATGGCAGCAAGGATTTGTACCTCATGATTATAGAAGTGGCCATTAATTGAAAACCTGTGAGTTTCTGCTTCTGCCCTGGCAATGGCAGGTAGCCAGGTCCTGCTCCGCAGAGCCACCACGGTGCTGCCAGCCCGGGACAGGGTGGCACAGTCCTGGTCCTGCTGGCTCCTGGGTGTCAGTGTGCGGCTTTCATAACAGGAATAACCTGGACAGAAAAACCCGATGAGCTGCTTTATCCCCACTGCCAGAACCCCACAGCTAGGAGCCTCTGGATGGTAGGTTTTCATTATTATCATCATCATCATCTTTATTATTATTAGCACAGCCCACTAGAAGTGGCCATTTGAAAGGATACTCGCACAGCAACCTTTTCACTAACCAGCCACACATCAGTGTTTCACTAGCATGGAATAGATGTTCAGAGACAAAGATAACCCTTTGCTGGCAGGGAAGGCCTAATGTGTCAGATTATATTTGCAGCCACAGAAAGAGTTTTTAGTGAACATAAGAGCACCAACACTAACTTTCCTCAAGGTTTGCCTTTTCTTCAGCAGATTTCAGCGTTTCCCCACTAATGTGATGGAGGTCATCAAATTCTCCCCAGCGTGTCATTCCCCTGAAATACAAAACATACATTTATAGTATGTTTTACTATGCAGTAATCTATGCAGTACAGATTACTATTCGTTAACCAATTTATAGGAAAGCATTAAAAATCCATTTCCTATATATATATATTTAAAACACACTCAACTAACTCCAATGAACATGCCAAGAAACAACGTGAGTTGTGTTCCCTGCATTTAAAGAGTCCATTTAAGATCAAATAGCCAAGCTGCTCTGCATACCTTCAAGCATGTCAGGACAGGTTTACATTGTTCTGATCACGAATTAATATTTGCTTTAAGATTCAGATCTCCACCAGTCAGAAGTATTTTTAAGAAATAAAAGGCAAAGCATAACTCTAAATGCCAGACTGACCCCATTCTACAGGCCAGATGCACCCTGACCCAGTAGACCTGGTAAAGGGGAACCAAGAGAACCAGAACTGCCTCAGACTCGAGTTCCTCAATGGTTACTTCTGCCAGGTTACATCCCTCAACTTCCACAGCAAGAGACAGGCAACAAGACTGTCCCTGACTTTACTGGAACTCCACAGCTGCAAAGAAGGCAGAATTAAATCCACAGTTCTAACATGTACCACATGGAACCTAAACCAAGGGATAATTAAGAAAATGAGCTCTGAAATACAGAATTTATCAGGGAGTTACTCAGGGTAAACATTGGCCCAGCCTCCATATTATACATTACTCAGCTTCAGCTCACCAGACAATTCAAAGTTCACCAACCAATGCTTGAGAAATACTGTTCAAAACAGAAAGAAGAAATACTCCGAGAACCTACATTAGTTTTTAAAGCTACAGCAAATGTAGCAGTAGTCCCATCAGTACAATGGACTTGATGGGCAATGCCAGAGGTAGGAGCCTGAAGGAGCAGCTGGTGGTGTGTGTTTCTGAGGACGTTTAACATCAGACTTCGCACAGACAAAGCCAGTATTCATTCCCTGGCTAGAGCTTTGGCCTAAGAGGCAACTCTTTCTCACCTGAGGTAACTTCCTCCACCTTCTCAACTGCTCTTCAGCTAAAAGCCAGGCAAAAATGCAAAAAAGGTGCACCTTTCTGCCCAGCAGAAGTTGCTGAAGGACCACCACAACCTTTGGGGAACCTGGGATACGCAGCCAGACACATCCATTGAACATGAGCTGTTTTTAAATACTACTGTGCCTCTTTCTGATGGAGGTTAATTCATTACCTTTTACTAGGGAACAAACCCACATTCTCCAAAGACTTTAGGGTTACAAATGAGGGTATCTGCTTCTCATCCTGAATTTTTAATCGGATGGGATGTCGGATGCCCCAAAATATTGACAAGATTCCTTCAATAAATGGTTTGCTTCCTTCTCGCTGGGGAAAAGAAAAAAGGGAAGAAGAGTAATAATAATAATCAAGTGACAATCATTTATTTCCCCTCAAACTTAACAGAAAAATGGCGAAATCATTAAACCAAGAGGAATGCAGCTTGTGGAGGAGAAGCAAGTCCAGACCACTAGAACAGAGACTCTGTGGTATGAGAAATGATTCATGCTTCAAGCCCTCCTTCAGCTCCATAGAGGATGCATTTCTGGGGCTCAGCTTCCCAGCATTTTTCTGCACTAAAGGTTCACACTCCAGGAGAGAACATTAGTCTGTCCTTGATAGGGTGACAGTCATCCTACCACTACACACCAGGGGTTAAAGTGGAAGAGTGGGGGAATGCACCCCACAACATCTGCAGTACAACTCCCTACAATATCAGTGCCCATTAGAGTTTTTCCTGCTATTACATTGTGCTTACCTGAGTACGTGACAGTTGCAGGTTTTCTTGGTCAGAATAGTAAGAGTTATAAGTCTTCAGAAGTGAACTGAGTTGCTCTCTAGAACAAAATATCACAATGAAAAGAATCATGTTTTTAACATCCATATTACTGTAAAACCCCGTATCTCTTACCCACTGCCTCTTTGTTAATGATTAATACCTCATTTTCCAGAAGTAAATTTGTGTCAGGACACTGGGTTACTTTTAACCTGCCTCTTTACAGGCCAGATACACAGAGGAAATAAATCACTTGTGGTCTGCTGTGATGCTCATAACCCTGCCCCAGAATAACTTGTACTTTGGACTTCTGCTGCAGTCATGGAGGGAAGAAAACAGTAACAACACTCCCATGCACCAGCACTGCAGATGACTGCAGTCAGGTTACCAGTTGTTTTCCCTGTATGAGGGCTTTGTATCTTTTTCAGATACATTTCTTATTTCAAAATACCTCTAGTATGCCTAGAGAAAGCATTTCAGTTTCCTTCTGCTTGAGACATAACAGCTTGGCACTAAGTCTTTGCTCAGAAGAGAAAGGATGGAGTTGAAGAGAACCTCTGCCGACAAGCAAGGGTTATAATCCTGCCCATCATCTTTTATTTCAGAGATTAAGGATGCAATTACAAAAAGCAGAATAACATCCTGCTTTGAAAGTACTGCACTGAGTCAGGAAGGCAACATGAGGCACACTGGTGCTAGCAGTGTTTAAAATTCAGTATTTAAGAACCACCAGAGATAATTATGCCTGTCTCCACCGTTGACAAACTCACATATAGCCCTTGTGAACAAGGCAAGGGGCAATAAATGCCATGTTGCACAAATACAGGCTCGGAGTGATTGCTTTGGCACTGATGCTGGGGAAAAGCACCTTCTGGCTACCACTAAGCAGCTGCTGGTCCCAAGCCAGCTGTGCCATGCTGAGATGGAACCAACACACAAGGAGAATATCCTCTTCAGGGCAAGGCTGCTTGAATTACAGCCCAAGGCCCGCTTTGGTCAAAGTACTCTGCTTTCTTCACACTGCTTTTGGTGAAAGATAAACACCAAGTTGACAGCATCCAAAGAGTGTGGAAGTGATAAGTAGCATCAACCACAAAGGCAAAAAGCAAGTTGCGACTTGAGCTAGGGAGGACCAAGGCAGAATTAAGTAATATACAGAAACATAGAATAGTTAGGGTTGGAAAGGACCCCAAGATCATTCAGTTCCAACCCCCCTGCCACGGGCAGGGACACCTCACACTAACCATGTCGCCCAAGGCTCTGTCCAACCTGGCCTTCAACACCGCCAGGGATGGAGCATTCACAGCTTCCCTGGGCAACCCATTCCAGTGCCTCACCACCCTCACAGTAAAGAACTTCTTCCTTAGATCCAATCTAAACTTCCCCTGTTCAAGTTTTAACCCGTTACCCCTTGTCCTATCACTACAGTCCCTAGTGAAGAGTCCCTCCCCAGCATCCCTATAGGCCCCCTTCAGATACTGGAAGGCTGCTATGAGGTCTCCATGCAGCTTCTCTTCTCCAGGCTGAACAGCCTTGGCTTTCTCAGTCTATCTTCATATGGGAGGTGCTCCAGTCCCCTGATCATCCTCGTGGCCATCCTCTGGACTTGTTCCAACAGTTCCATGTACTTTTATGTTGAGGACACCAGAACTGCACACAATACTCCAGGTGAGGTCTCACGAGGGCAGAGTAGAGGGCCAGGATCACCTCCTTCGACCTGCTGGTCACGCTCCTTTTGATGCAGCCCAGGTTACATATTTCAGGACCACTGAGAATGAAACACTGTTACACCAATTAAACAGCAAAAATGATTTAGATTGTAATTCAAGAAAGCAACTTCTACCAGCAGAGATAAGTAAGCTTGGGAAACAATTGCATGGAAGCATCCAAATTCTTCCTCATGGACAATCTTCAAGCATCAACTGATATGACTAACAACAACGCTGTTTAACATCCTGCCTTGCAGTGGGGAGTGAAAACACCGAGTGTGTTTGCAAATAATGACTCTTCTTTCCATGTTTTTGTCTAGCATGAGATACAAGGCCTGAACCATCGGCAGAACAGACAGCACTTGCAAAGTCTTCTTACAGCAAGTTGCACTGAGATCTACTGAAACTGTTCAAGATCCATGTACCATCAAAAGCGCTGTTACTGCTCCTACACCAAATTTCAGTAAAAAAAAAAAACAAACAACACAAACAAAACCCGAAACCACTCAAAACCAACCCCAAGAATTGACTTCTAGCACCATTACTGAAAATCAAATCACACCCGAGAAGGATGCTCAGTAGAAAAAGCATTTTACTACTTCAACAGTCAGAGATCACCACAAACAAAGGAATAATGTGGTATGTGTAGGAATTTTTCACAGTTGTTTCCCTATAACAGCCATAACACACCCAAAACATGAGGAAGTGATCCATGGTGACAACAGCACCCTTATTAGAGATGACAAAGCTAAGAGCGATCCCTCCCCTAGGAATGGAATCAGTTTGTCCATCACAGCAAGCAGTTCAGAAAGATAACTTCAAGGATGAATACCCAGCACATCTCCCTGATCAGACAGTGACTCAATTTAGTAAAACTGTTTAAATGGCTCTTCAGTTGACTCTGTAAACTTAAAAACAAACAAATAAAAAAAAAAAAACAACCAACCAAGCAAACAAAGTCAGTGAGTCAGGGGATCTCAACTATGATACCAAGAAACGGCTTTAAATTGACAGAGGGGAGATTGAGATGAGATCTTAGCAAGAAGTTCTCTACTGTGAAGGTGGTGAGGCCCTGGCACAGGGTGCCCAGAGGAGCAGTGGCTGCCCCATCCCTGGCAGTGTACAAGGACAAGTTGAATGGGGCTTGGAGCAACCCAGTCTAGTGGAAGGTGTCCCTGCCTGTGGCAGGGGCTTGGAACTGGATGAGCTTTAATGACCCTCCTATCCCAAACCAGTCTGGGATTCTATGAAACCAGTGCAAGAGAACAGAAGGATGGATTACACAGAGAAACACAAGTAATTTTGTTTGGAAACTGCTATGTATGATTTTAAGTGTTCCAGTGAAAGTATGCTCTCTCAGGACTATCACTGTCTTACTCCAGCAGTGTACACCCTCTTCTGTATTTTATGACTGTGTTTCTCAGCCAGCTCTTACCATAAATGCATACCCACAGCACCTGGACAATGCAGTATCTCTGCGTAATGCTAAGCAGAACTTCACCACTGCACGTCTTTACATAGGATACGGACCTGCAGCACCTGCTTCTTCCTTCAGGACTTACGAACCTAAGCCAAGCAGAGTGCCAAGGTGGCTCAGATGGACATGGCTATGTTTGTGGTGGAGGGGTAGGCAGAGTGTGCCAGTCTAAAGTTTCCCCTTGCATTCCCTATCTTTGCTCCACTTAAACTGAACTTGGCAGTGTCCTCCTGCCTGATGAGCCTTTTTCCATGGTGAGAAGGGAAAAGATACTCAGGACTTTTACTTAGCAGGTAACATTAGAACAAAGGCTGCACCTTGAAACTCAACAAGGTTAACTGCATTTCCTTCTAACACATTGGATGTAAATTATTTACTGGAACTTACCACGACTCTCAAAAGATGTTTTCCAGTGGCTTTATCAACCAAACATGGGGCACCGAAACAGCATTTTCAACAATTACTTCAACTCTTAAACCCTAGTAATACAGCTGGTGAAAGCCTTTCTTCCTTTGAGCTGGAACAGCTCATTACAGGTTGTCTCATGAACTATGAGGATTGTATTCAGGTCATCCCACCAAAAGGGAAAGTTCTAATAGACATAGCTATGAATCAGATAGAAGCAAAATTGGGTTCATATTGGCTAAAGGTAAACAAGATTAAGCATGTCTCTGCCTCATACACAGGCAAAATCCAGATGCTATGTGAGATTAACATGCAAGTAGGAGAGAGGGAGTTTTGTTTGACAGATGTTGTGACAGACCTGCTGATCCTGCTTGCACAGTGCTTGAAACATAGGTCATCTTATACTTTGCAGCCTAGTATGCTTGGCAATCATTTTATTGATTACCAAGTTGTCATTTTGCAAGGTTTTTCCAAGTAGAAAGTTGGATGATCAGTTTCCTGGAGACCCAGATCATACTCTGAGGCCCATTTATTACTTGTAAGCCATGCAAATAAAAAAAGCCTAAAGCAAATAAAAAAATCACAGGCTAAAAGCACTTAATGTGTGGTAAGAGTTATCTCTGAAGCAGATTTCTGTTTCTCTCAAGATTTTTCCTTAGTTTCTGGTCTTGTCTAGAATAACTTCCCATTAAATGCCACAGGATTCTGGTCAGATAAATTTTTCAGGTTTCAGTCCTGCATTAGTGCACCCAACAGTGACGAACCACATGAGCCATTACAAAAGCCCTGAGGGAGAGATTTAACAGGATTCACTGACTTGTTTGACCTTGTGTAGTGGGGACAGGAGGAAAGGAAAGATTTTTCCTTCTTTTAAGCCCAGAAATGAGTAACACATGCACCACCCTATTAGTTCCAGAAGCCTTTCTGTAACATATCTTTAATTACAAAGGCCCAGAGACTGCCCTAACCAGGGGGCATGTGGTCATCTCTGAAGAGTTAAGCTTGACAGAAAGCCAAGGGCAGCCAAGTTGCAAGACTGTTCCTCATAGCACAGCTCTGGGACAGCAGCCAAATCCAGCCATTTCTGGAAGCCTGAGCTAAGTAACTGGTAGAACTACCTAGAGACAAACCGAAAAAGGTAACATTTACTGCAGAATCATCACCTGGTTCAGTAATGAAGGCAGGATACAAAGGAGCTGTAAAGTCAAGAGCCCTAGTGGTAAAACCACAATATAGCCCAGATTATTTTCGCTTGAAATGCCAACACAGGACAGTTCACCTGTGCCTTCTCTCTCAGTGCCTAGACACTTATCCATGGATATTTATGGCAGTTATTCAGAAAGACAGTAGTTCAGCCAGCCAAATGCCCTGGCCATCTTTTTGATTCAGCCCTTGTGCAATTCCCAAACAGCAAGCTTGCCACATCAGCAAGATTCACACAATTCAACTGGAAGAGGCTTGATGTAACAGCCAACCAAAGGTACAGATGAGGGATGATAGTTTGGAAACAGCACTGGAATTGTATGCTCAAGTGCATACCGAATATGTCAATGATTCTGGAAACACTTGTTATTTGGTGGGTTTGGTCTGGGTTTGGTTTTTTTTCCAAGGCAAAGCAGCTTCAGCCACACTTTAAACCATGACTAACAGAAGGGTCTCGACCATGATTCACGTATCATTACTTGAACAGGCAGTAAAAACTCAAGCACATTGGTTCACCTGGCACATTTCCAAATGACTTTATATGCCAAGTATATAAAAGTTCACACAGATTAATTACCTTTAACACAAAGTCACTATGTCCCAACAACGCTTTAAGAGGAGGAGGAGGATGCATTTACTGTCTGCATGCTTTGGGCAAAGCTCTGACACACTTAAAAAGGGAGAAATTCACAGCACTACTTATGCCACATACAGAAGTGTCAGGATTCAGATGCAAATACCTATTACACTGTGAGAATATCTATTACAGGCCTCATCCCCAGATGCGTGTGTACTTCACTTCTTTGTGCAGGAATATTAGGAGAGGTGGAAATGAAGTAAGAGAACAGCCCCCTCATCAGCTCCTATGCTCTGGTCAACAGGGGAAAAGCTATTTCCCTACAAACGGGATGGACCTATACAGCAGAGAGCTCTGGGCTCATGGCAGCATTAGGAAAAATTCATGCCATCCAGACTTAGCCAAGGGAAAGCATCCCATGAAAAACTGTTTGAATGCAATTCCAAGCTTTGTACAAGGAGGTTAAAGAACCACTTCACACAGAATAGAGCTGGGAGCCTGGCAGATCTTTTGCCAAGAAATCCCTCATCTGTAGCCACAGACTAAACCATGTGCCTCAAACAAGTAGAGCTCAAGTGAAACTCTGGAACTCATGTTCAGTTCTAACAGATTCCAAAAATAGGAAGGTCATCCTTGTTAATTTGGAATTTTACTTCAATATCCTCTAAACGTGCTGTTCTACATAAAAAAAAAAAAAATCTATAGACCAAGAGGTTTAATGCTTGATTCTTGAAAATCCTTATATAGGGCAACTTTGTTCTGGAGACATTTGACAGAATGCAAGTTCTAGGAATTGCTACCGCTACAGGCTCAGCTCTCTAGAGGATTCCCTGTTAATGAAGAAATACAGAGTGATTTGAAAGAAAGCAGCCAAATCATTAAATGGTTTTGGGTTTTTTTTTTTAATAGTTTACCTGGTTATGAACTTCTCCTCATTGATGGAAACAGAAGGTAGATGCTGTGCTTTCATAGTCACTTTCTTCATTTATTCCAAGGAGATGAATCTAAACAAAAGGTTAAAATAATAATTATAGCCACTAATGCCACTAAGAAAGATCAAGTGGCAAACACAACCACAAAGCCTTAGTTTGCCAAGTGAAACAGGATCAGACACTCAAGCTAAGGGTTAACTACACCGTATTTTGACCTCTTTGTGCTCAGCCCTAATACACATATATCCCACTCCTAGTAAAAAAAGCCATAGGCCATCCCCACCAAGTACATTACAGTACCTTAAACCATGTAATCCCAGACTGGCTTGGGTTGGAAAGGACCTTAAAACTCGTATAGTTCCAACTCCCTGCCACAGGGAGGGACACTTTCCACTAGACTAGCCTTGAACACTGCCAGGGATGGGGCAGCCACAGCTCCTCTGGGCAACCTGTGCCAGTGCCTCACAGGAAAAGACTTTATCCAAGTACTACATATGCCAGGACTTTCTCAAGTAGTTTTAGGACCACTCCACAACTCCATGATGACGCTTCACTCGTTAGCAGACAGGCTCCAACTACTGGGCATAATTCAGTAGTTAGTTACAGATAAAGCATTGCCCAGGGTCACCAAAAAAACCCTAAGTGAGTCAGCAAACCAGTCCTTAACCAGGGCTGTAGAGCTAGACAAGAGAAGAAGTGCTGATCGTCAGCAGTGTCCGGTAGCACACAAAGAAAGCAGCTGAGAGATTAAAGAGAGCATAAGGCTATAATTAAAGTGATGTAGCAATATAATTTACAGATCTCCATGTTGCAATTCCAGCACATTGTGTAGGCAGCAAGCCAGCCCCTTGAGACTCCAACAATGCATTCTTCAATAAGCTTAATTACGGAGTCTTGTCTGCCTTTATTCCCCCTCAGGTATTAGAAGAAAAGGCTGACTGAAGAAAGTAACTGAAGAGTCTCAGACTTAAGACTGGCAACAGATACTGCACTAAAAAACTTAGTCTCAGCCCAAGACATGGCATCACACAGAAAGGCTGGAGGGTGGGGAGGGGAAAGAAATGGACTCCATGGAAAACAGCAACATCTCCAAAGGCTGCACTGGAAGTAGATCTTTCATGTCTAGATATTAATTGTATTTCTTAATGCAAGAAATACTTGCATTCAAAATTCACTTAACCGCAGTTGATGACCTTTCTCCCTCATGCTCTGGACTTGAGCCCGATTTCAGACTGTGTGGACAGAGTCTGGTGTAACACCTCTGAAAAGCAGTTTATTGTCTACAGTAGTAATACCAAGTAGCCTTCAGGAAATCAATTTAGAAGAGAAATCCAAGCTTGGAAGTCTCATTGCTAGCTAAAGAGTAAGTGCCTAGCTTCTTTTCAAGTGATCCTACATTACTGAGCTCCTGGTTTAGAAGTTCCCTGAAGTTTTCATAGTCATACAGGAATAACTTCTAAAATAAATGTGGACAAACAAGAAATTGTGTAAAAACACAGTACCGTCACCCTACACAACATCTGGGACATCTTTTCACAACCTCTAAACCCAGAGTGCACTAGCAAAGTGAGCTTTATGCAAGCAGCTGGGGTTTCTAGCAGCACTGTATCAGTAGCTCACCAACAGAAGCAGGAGGGATCCCACATCTCGTTGTTCTTTGGGTGACATCCATCACAGCAGAAACACACCTAGAGGCCAGATAACCCCAGGGACTTCTGTACAGCCAAGAGTTTGTACAGAAAGAAGAGATCACTGTATATAATCAATATAAGCTTGCTCTTTCTTTGCCTCTGAAGTAAGCTGAGTTCAGAAACCACTGGACACCTCTTGAAATCTGTTTTTAGGTAATTTACAAATACCTCCATCTGAATCAACTGCCTATGACACAGTATTTCAGACCAAATTTAAATGATGCAGAGGAACTGACGTACATTGGCACCTGGACAACTGGATGTACACTTTAGCTTCCTACCATCCATCAGGAATCAACATGTTAAGAACAGCAATAACCAAGTTACCAGTACCACTGGTAGAGCAGCAACTCCAGCAACCGCCTGCACTACTTCATCGCTGGTGGTAGCATTGTTTTCAGTACAATCTGACCTTCAACAGATTCATATGAAAGAAAAGCTCAGACTGAGAAGTGACCTTTACACAAAAGATGATAATCACTGACCTGTTTTATTGCAGGGAATGACTTTTGCTAAATTATTTGCCTTAAACTTGGGCATATCTTAAATCAGCTCTAAATGGCTTAAAAACAGCCATTAAAATGCTGACACTAAAACAAACTGGAACAGTAGTTGGTGATGGGAACAGTTCCTCACCATGCCTCCCCCTTTTCCTTCCATCAGTGCCCAGACAAAGACTGGCCTCTTCTATAGCTGGTGCAAAGCACAAAAAGCTCATTACAGTGACGTGACCAGTTCTGCTCATCAGAGTTGTACAAAACATTTCCACACCACCAGCTCACCCTAGAGATAAAACATTCCATGTACCCTTCCTAGAAGCTCACACATCTCACAGCCCTCATTTTTGGTTAACCCAGAAACCTGCAGGTTGGGAACATGCAGCGACTTCCCCAGCACAACTACTGGACACCACAAATGACAGTATATTTACATTAGTGCTCTGTAAATTCCTGTCACATATTCTATCACCTCCTGGCATTTTCTTGTCTTCCATGTTACTCTCCTGCGATTCTTTTGATGAAGCAAACAGAGTGAAATGGGTTTTTTTTCCACTGCTCTCTATCATTTAAACTAACAAAAATAGGCTGATTTTCCAGTTCTTCCAATGATACATGGTTCAGGCCACCTATTTGTCTATTCAAAGCAGTCTCCTACCTTGCTTAGTGTTAGACAAGTGTCTTCATCATTATATTAAACTGGACTAGAACCACAGAACCCCCCCTCAGATAGGCAAGAACTTAAAGAAGCTAAGACTAACCTCCTGGCCCGAGACTTCACTAAGAAACTTAAAGCTCCAGGGAAGAGTGAAGCCTAAAATACTTTTGAAAGGAGAGAAAGAAGCAGAAGGGAAAGACAGGAGTAAATGAGAAGTGGGGCAGATAGAAAACAAGCAATTCCAGAGGAAGACTGTTAGTGGAGAGGCAGATGAGAGGACTTGTTTCATTTCAGTAAGTACAGTGATCTTGAAGTTATTTGCTTAAGGGGACAGCAGAGGGACAGGACAACCAAGGAATGACAAAGTAAAGGTAACAGCAAACTGCCACACTGATTTTTACACAATGACAAAAGGAAGCAACTGTAGAGAGGAGGGCTGGAAGGAGAGGGACACCCTACATCCAGAGCTGAGCCCAGCAGGAGCAGGAAAGCAACATTTTAATTTGTACGTAAGAGCCTGGATGTGCTTTTTGGCACATCTCTATACTATATTATTGCCAAGCAAGCAGTGCACTACACACAGCTCACACCAGTCTTAACAACAACTAAATGCACAAATCTCCCCCAAAGATCCCTAGGCATATTGACCCAGTGCTTCCCCAGGCTGTCATAAAACCACAGGAAGTCAGAATAGGGTGAACCTTCTCCCTTTTGTGTGTAGAAACCCCAAGGCTCAGTTTTCTTTACTCATACATACACATGTACAGCATAGTGAGCTTGGCACTGTAGTCACAATAGCACCTATACCCAAGTCATGTTTCCGGCTCAGAAGCGTCTGGTATTCAGTCAAATTTTGGACCAGATAAAACCAAGTTAAGGATTTATTCACATACATGAGAAATGAAGCATCAGCAGAATATTCTTCCTCATCTTTACCTAGTCACACATTGTATCAGCCTTCATGTTGTTTCCTTTTTAAGTTCCGTCTGTGTCCACACCAGTAAAAGCAAAGGTCTAACCAAAAGAAAGCACTTAGTCCAAACACTTGCATTTTTCCTTACTGAAAACAAGGGTTTCTTTGGGTTTTTTGTCTTGCAGACTCCTTTACTGTTTACTTTAAAAACTAATTGCTGCAGTACAGAGGAGTAACAGCATGGCTTGAGTACAAAACACAGCTCAGTCCCCCTGCTCAGGCAGGATCAGAACAGGCTTTGGTGGCTGAAACCAGAAGTAAGTCAGCGTTAATCAGTGAACACGGCCCCCTAACTGAGTGGAGGGACAAGACACACAAGCTCCCTCCCTTCACACAACAAGAAAGCAGGGATTGTAGCAAGTCTATTCCCAACACTAAGTAATCCACAATTATGAAGAGAAGTTACTTTTATTTTTTTTCCAGGTCCCTCAGGAACAATGGCTTTTACTTGCCAAAAAGGGCAGACAAGGTCACTAATGTAACCTTTGCAATCACACTGAATGAGGAGCAGCAGAGGCTTGTGCCCATGAACACGCTGATCAACAGCGGCAGCACTTCCTATTCCTGTTTCAATCACAACTGATTCACACAAACCACCTCAACTTCAACAGCTTCTGACCAAATATTTCTCCCTCCCTCCAGCACCCCAACCACCCAGAATGAATTCAGCTGGAGTTCTGGGTGACTGCAAAGGACCTTACTTCCCACTGACACCGCACTTTGCGCAGCAAGCAGAACAGCTCCAGCGTCACACAGCACTTACCTGCACACAGGGTCAGAGCAGAAGCAGAGGAGGAGTTTCACATACCTTGCACTGAGCTCTGGAGAGGCATCACAGCAGCACACTGCTGACAGCTACCTCTGCCACTTCAGGAAACCCACAGAGCTCTCAATTACTGTTTCGCTTCACAAACTGGGAGCGCTGGGAACCCAAGACACTCCCCGCACCTCAGAGCATGTCGGGAATATTTACCTACCCACCTGCCTCCCTCTCCCTCCACCACGCAGCCGACAGGAGCTCTCTTAGTCATGGTTACACCTATGGAGAGGCTCTGGTTAACACTTTAATCTCTAACTTCATAGTGAGCGGTAACCTGCTGACTCCTGGTAATTATTTGCCAACAGGGCATACCCTGAAACATCCTGTGCTGGAAGAAGCACTGTTAGGCTTTAACCTCTTCTCTGTTTAGCAATCCATACGATAAAGTCAATTTCCTTCTCCAGATAAATGCTAATCTTTGGTGGAATAGCCAAGCCACACAATCACATCATGCTCAAGTAGAGACCTATGGATTTATAATGTAATAGAAATGGTGACAACACAGCTTCATCATTTAATCACATCCAGCTGCATAATCAAATCTTTGCTTAACTGTAAAATAGCCTTACGGATATTACTCTGTGGGCAAGAGCTGTGTCTGTAAGAGAACACACTGATGCTCAGCAGCTAATTGTATAAACAGATGTTTAAGCTGTAAAAAAAAATTTGAACCAACACACACCTTCTGAGCAAATTCTGTTTGCCCATCCATTTATAGCAAGAGATTTATTCACAAGATCAAGCCTAAAACTGGAAGTCACTGGGCCACAGAGAGAAGAGCACAAAAAATCCTGAGCCCCGAATAGCCTTCATACTCACCTTACGGCTCTGGGATTTAGATCAAGTACTTCTGCCTTTATATAGTGGTGGACTTGGCAGTCCTGGGGGAATGGTTGGATTTGATGATCTTACAGGTCTTTTCCAACCCGGTTGATTCTGTGATTGTATGTTAGAGAGGCAGAATAGACTCATGAAAGTTTGATTCCTGCTCACATCTGTACCCCCCCGGGGCACTCCTTTCCAGAGCTTGTGCACACAACACAACATACTTGGTATTTGAGATTATAGTTTATGCTGCATTTTCTAGCTCAGCACCTGAAAAATAGTCAAACAAGGGTTTCACTGGTGTATATATAGCATTGAAAAGTCTCTCACACCACAGGAAGGAGCCAACACACCAGATTTTTGCTCAATTCACAACAGCACAGAAGCTCCATGTTGTGGTAGACTTGGAACTTCACACCAAGCTCAACCCCTGGAGCTGCCCCATCTCTTGTGCAGTTGTTTAACAGAAATCCATACAACACCCCAACTTGCTTAAAACCAGAGGTTTGATTTTCTTCTGGCACACCTTCAGACTCTGCCTGATCCTCTTGGGATCAGAGAGCAAGCACAGCCTGGCACCTGCAAGTCTCCAAAGCAAGATAACATTGGATCTCTGACAGGCACATGCCATGTCACTAGACACTTCCACTGTTGGGTACCAGGAGGTATCCAAGTATTTCTAGATCTGAAGACAATAATGTTAGCTTACAACAGGGCAATGACACTTAACCCTTCAGTGTAACCCAGGCTTCATCCTGACTCCCAGCTTGTAAGGTTTTATTTGGGTTTTTGTTTTTTGTGGGTTTTTTTTGTTTTGTTTTGTTGGTTTTTTAAGATACATTTAAGTTCTTCTGAATAAATTTTCAAGTTTAGAAGCAAGTTTTGGAAACCCAGTGCTTAAATTACTTTGACACATGCAAAGATCTCTCTGTAAGAAATTAATACAATAAAGCAACTAAAAACCTAATTTGAATAAAGGACTAGAGTTCACACTTCCAGTTAAGCCAGGCTTATTAAAAATGGCTGTTTGTTTCTCTCCCACTTAACTAATCCCACCAACAGTCTAGTTGTGAGGGGAAAAAAGCTTTAGGGACACATACAGGAATTAGTTCACTGTAAGCTCCGAGAAAGAGTTTGCTCCTATTCCTTTCACAGGAAAAGAATAATCAATGCACACAGAGGTTTGTGGGTTTTTTTTTTGTTTTTTATCTAGCATAATAAACACAGTTTACATTTCCTGGAAATCTAAGAACAAGCCAAAACATGGCTATACTGTTTCCCCCTTCAAATGCAAGGGTAACAATGATTTCTTCAGCACAGGCAGGGAACATGCTGCTTTGAGTCTTTATAGACTGTATTAGATTTCTGGCTCCTTGCATGACGAACATTCAAATCATTTTAAGTTAATTAAGAATTGGAAGTTTGAGGTCAGCTGTTTAATAACTTGGCCTCAAATCATTAACAAACAGACTGCTGGAGCTAAAAAGATCTCAAATGGGTGAAACTAAGACTCCTGCTCTATTTTTGTAGTACCCAGTCACAAGAAGCAGTCTAGCCATTGTGAGATCCTACATGGCTGCTGGACTCCAGTGGAAGTGTTCTGATAAACACAACAGGATACATGAGCTCACAACAGATTGCTGCGCTTTACGGTGAGAAGGAAAATCCATAACGTTGTTTGCAAACAGCTGTTTCTGGCCAACTTCATTAACCCCAAAAAGAAAAAAAATCCATCATGGACTTTGAGCCAGCTACTGTAATACAAAGGTAGAGCCCCATCAGGCAAGATCTGAAACTAACTTAACCAAGTGATCAATTCTTTCATTTGTATTACAAACATTACCAAGGGGTTGCACTGATAATAGCCACAAATCAAGGAATTTAGAACTGCATTTCCCCCACAAAGGAACTCCCATTCTTCAGCAAGATGATTTTCTGTCATCACACCAAAGTGCCAACAGGTGTGATGCCAACTTGTGTGCCAGGACATAGTTTGGAGACACACCTGATAAGGACAGAAAACAAAGTAGGAAGCAGAAGATTATCTCAGTTTAGTAGATATACAATGCACACATCCACTGCTATGCCTTACAATTTATTATGTGCCACAATCCCCCGCATACCATCTTCTGAATTTTGGGGACCACAATTTTTTAAGGTACAGTAAAGAAGCAGAGCTGATGCTTGTAGCAGCACATGTGCTAAATGGTATAGGGTTTTGACATCACTTAAAGAGCTGGAACTTCCCAGCTACTGATTTCTACCTGCACTTTGCTTGCATACCTCACTCTCTTTGCCCTCATGAACCACCTTCAGAGGAGCAGGTCTGTAGCACCATTAGTCATGCACCATGGCTTTGCATTGATTATACACACCCATTTAGTCATCCATTTGATATTACAGAAAATGACAAAGCCATACAAGAATTTTCATTGCCTGAAGCTAGAGAATATTTTACAGGGCAGAACCAAAGGGAACTGCCCTGTCTAAAAGAGTCATGCAGCTCCTCACTCCCATTAGAGCATAAAATCACCATCTCACCACACCCAGCCAATTTACACAGCACTTAACCAGCTGTAAGTCTTCCACAGTTAAGATTTTCAGGCCCAGATTTCACTCAAACCCCAAGGTATTCTACAAAACACCACTTTCACAGATTCCTTTCTATGTACCACTCTACATCTGTACACTTCTGCCTTCAAGAGTCAAACCCCCTTGTCCACCTTGCTTCTGTAACACCACAAAAAAAATCTCACAGAGTCAGGCTCCCCCCCTCCAAACCTCCATTCTTTTTCTTTCTTGTACTATGGGCTCCTTTTATGCTCAGGTCACTGCACTGTAAGGGCCAGTTGAGGCTCATGTGACTGTGGCACCTAAGCCCCATTTCCAACATGCTAACAATTTTTCTTTAATTACTTCTTTGTTAAGGCAGCTGAGCCATCACATGGACTGTCTCCTATATTCTGTTTCTCTTAAAAACATCCCTCCAATCCTCTCTACAACTAAATGGTCATACAAGTCCTAACCTACAGTTTCTGAGAAGCTTCAGGTCTTGATCCTGACTTGAAGCTATTGCCATAATTCTGTGAAGGTACATTTGGAGCTACCCTGGCAAAACAACCAGTTAATTTTTCTGCTACTTCTACACTTGCCTTTAGGTTGTGTACGAATGGGAAGATTCAAGCTGCAAAGCATTGTATGATTAGTTGAGGTGTGGGGGGGGGGGGAATTACTGTCCTCAGATTATATCTGAAGGGGACCTACAAGGATGCTGGAGAGGGACTTTTCATTAGGGACTGCAGCAACACAACAAGGGGTAATGGGTTTAAACTTAGAGAGGGGAAGTTCAGGTTACATACAAGGAAGAAGTTTGTTACTGGGAGGGTGGTGTGGCACTGGAACAGATTGCCCAAGGATGCTGTGGATGCTCCATCCCTGGCAGTGTTCAAGTCCAGGTTGGACAGAGCCTTGGGTGACATGGTTTAGTGTGAGGCCTCCCTGCTCATGACAAGGGGTTGGAACTGGATGATCTTCAGGTCCTTTCCAACACAAACCATTCTGTGATTCTATGATTCTCCTCATCCTAGGATGTAACAAATAATAAAGCAGACTTCAGCAATAACCTAATTCTAACACATTTTGGATCACAGACATACATATGCAAGTTTATATTTTCTCCACAAGCAAAAGGAAGAAACGGGAAATGTCTTTTCTCCACTGAACAGCAATCCCACATTAGAAATACAGAAAATAGAGTCAGAAATACCCAAACCTTACACAAGAGTCTACCAGTAATCAGTCTGAGCTGAATTTCTGATGAACACAATGCAAATCATACATTGTTTCCTTGACTTTGTTGCAGTACATGGCATTGTGTCATGAACTTATGAATTATCTCTAGCATACAGCCTTGCAGCACTGTCTTATTCCCTGTTGAACATGACCACGTGTGGCTAAGTTCAAGGGGGTTTGAGAGGCTTTTCCCTGTCATGCTGTCAGTGGTTACTACCCTACCAGTCATACCTTCAAAGGTACTACCTTTTTTGCCCCAGAACTTCATCATCTGCAAACTGACACAGTTCCAGATCCTGAGATGCTCTGAAGAGATCTTTGTGGCTCCTTGGGTGTCTCTAAGAAAGTTCACCTTTTGACAGAGACCCTCCTCAACTCTGCTTAATCTTCTTGCTGAAAATCACTGCTCTGGGTGGCCCCTATCCTTCCATAATGCTGCTTTCATATTACAACATCAAATAACCCCTCTGGACATTCAGCTGTCAAGCTGATTTTACCAAAAGTAGATACATCAGTGTACT